TTCTCTCCCTCCTCCTTCGGTCCCGCTCGGCCTGGGAAAGGAGAGTTCCACCAAGCTGCATCGGCTCCTCCGAAGAAGGTGGGTCACAGTGAGGCCCACAAGGCCACTGTGGTGAACTGAAGGTTGAAGCGGCGGCTCCGGAACTGGAACCGCTGTATGGCCCTCGTTCACGACGCCTCTCTCGCAGGCAGTTGTCGAGGCGAATAGTCTGGTCAATTAGGGACTCCAGATCCCCAACAGGATCCCTAGCTGCCAGTTCATCCTTGATAATGCCAGCGAGCCCCTTCCGGAACGCTGCCATCAGGGCCTCCTCGTTCCACTTACACTCTGCTGCCAGGGTGCGGAAGAGCACCGCATACTCAGCAACACTAGCACTGCCTTGACGCAGCTGGAAAAGGCGATTAGCTGCATCACTACCTCCCAAGGGATGGTCAAACACCCGGCGCATCTCGCCCGTGAAGGTGCTAAAGTCATCACAGGAATGGCCCTGCTGATCCCAAACAGCTGTTGCCCATGCCCGGGCCTTTCGGTCAGAAGCGTTATGACGTAGGCTATGCGAGCACGATCGGTGCGAAACGAGGAGGCTTGAAGTTCAAAGGTGAGAGAGCATTGAGTAAGGAAGGCCCGGCAGTCCCTGGGGTTGCCGTCATACCTCTCGGGAGCGGGTAGCCGTGGTTCTGCGAGGGTCCCAGGTGGAAGGGAATCACGTGATGGTGCTGTAGCTCCAGAGGGGGCCGGTGGTGGCAAACGAGCTAGTACATCGGTCAAAGTCTGTTGTAAGCCCTGCAGGACTTGCTCTTGGCGAGTGAAGGCAGCCTCATGGAGGGTTAGGCGAGCATCATGGCGAGACACAGTGGCGTCGTGACTAGCCACTGCCGCGTAGAGTTGATCCGCCGCAGTTGGTGTCCGGGGTTGCCGAGGTGACGGGGAAGCCTTTGTCTCTGCTGAGTCTGGTTCCATGGCCGAGTCTTGCTATCAGGATCGTCGAGATCAAACCTGGGTCTCGGTGTAGCAGGCAGATTGTCTACCACTGTGCTCTAGGTGGGGGTGACTCAGGTGCAGAGACAGACACGGACAAGTTGTATGTTGAGTCACAAAAAGGTTTCTTTACTTGCAAAAAGTAGTTCCAGATCGTAGACAAAACTCAAAATATTCCAAGACAACTAAAAACAAAGGCAGAGCATTAAACAGGAGACTAAGGGTGTCCCAAAGAACAGGCAACAGAAGATCTTTAACCACAAAAGGGTATTAACAGAGAAGCGTTTACCAAGTGTCTCACACAGCTCAGCTCCAGGTAGTAAGATCCAAGACTCGGCAAACACAGAGAAACACAGTTTGCTTTTTAAAGGCTAGAGAACGAGGCACAGGTGAACGCAATGAGAATAATCATCACCACACAGACTCATGACAGGTGCCATACATAAAACTGGATCACTGAGGACCCCACATGGTCCTTCAGGGTACTTCAGTCCAAAAACCCTGACATATTTAAACGGCAACCTTGTTTGTTTTTTTGGGCCATTTGACATGATGCAAGGTAGCCGCACCATTTTCCAGAGCTTAGCCTAGATTGGGAAACAAGAATTTTTAAACCTGCTCATCAGTTTTAAGTGAGGTTTTCTCTGAAGAAAAGTAGAATCGTTCCCAAGGCAGCAGTAGATCTGCAACAAAAACAACGGCAACAAAAATGCTGCAGTTCAGGCTTAAGGCAGAAAAGGCTGTTTTGTTTTCTACTTTTTTTACATGTATTTCCAAGGATTTTTTAAAGGCTTCTGTCTCATACAGCAAAATTGTTACTTTCATATATATATATATATATATATATATATATATATATATATGTATACATATATATATATATATATATATATATATATATATATATATATATATATATATATGTATGTGTATTCACTCCCTATTATTTGCTATTTGGACAATCGGGGAAAAGGTTCATTGAATTCATGATTATTTGAGTGAGCTTTGGTGGCTTTTGCGTGTTTTTAGAGTTCTAGCACCACCCGTCCTTTGCTTTGAATAAGTCTGTAGCCTGAGGGTCTAGCCACGTCGACTCCTGGTGTCTTCCACAAAGAAGTAGGAGGCCTTGGAACAAAGGATAGACTAATAGACAACGATCTGATAAGCCCCAAATGTGCACCTGTCACCGGCCTACCAACCTCCAGTAGCTCCAGTCTAATCCATACTAAGATGATATATTGTTACCTTAGTTTAGTTTATTCCTCACAAACAACTGCCCAGGCCGACACTACTGCGGTTCTTCGGAAGATATCGCAAATAATCCTCATAAAGCTAGATTAACATGAACATGAGCGGCAATGTTTTTCTGCCTTGTTACACGCCACATAAAATGATAAACACAAGCGGAGGAAGATAAGTTTCCTGTGTGTGTTCTGAGGCTTGTGTCTGTCCTGCCATGAGGAAGTGTTTCTATAGTGCACCAGCTAAAGGCAACAGCAGTCTAACATGTCTGCTTATAGAAAATCTGATGGGCCGGTTTGACTGCAACCACACTGGATCGACATTGCACAGCGTCTTTATTTAACTATCAGCCTCCCGCATAAAAGGAAATAAGCCATATAGACATTTAAGTACCGTTGTGATGTTAACGATTTCATGTCCTTCCCTGTGGGACCAACCAGCGAGACTGTAGTCATAGCATGACAATAGAGGATTATGCAATGGCCACAAAGGCAGTAAAAAGTCAGAGCAACTTCCCGTCAGAGTTGTGTGTGTGTGTGTGTGTGTGTGTGTGTGTGTGCGCCTGTAGGCCTACTTATTTTTGGAGCAGATGACAATCAAACAAAGCGTCGATTTTCTTACCTGTTGACTCAACCAAACTGATTCACCATACCTGTGTTCTGTGCGTGACCTGAGCCAGGCACGTCCTATCCCGGCTCCACTGAGGGCACAAACACACAAACGTCCACATGCACCACACTTGGGGGGGGGGCAGCCACTTGTTAGACACTCCGCTCACAGAACTCAACACAAGCTCAAACTCTATTCAACCCTTTTGCACTCCTTTCCATTCAAGGTCATTTCTCTCTACTTGTTATGTCTTCGTTTCACCACGGTTCAGCAGTTTTACTGGTTCAATATTAATCCCTATTATTAGGGTTTGTAACACAGACGGCTGCGGTAAATGTGGGTGGGTTCATTTCTCAAAGCAGTGTCTTTAGCTGTAGCTAAACCTCAGTTTCGGTATGTGTTTGAGATAAAGCCTAAATCAAGTAAAATGATTATAGAAATCGGGTTGAGCAGAGACAAATTGATTGGTATGGACTGTTAGTAGCCCTCTAATACACCCGCTGATATTGTATCCCACTTCCATTTTGTGGTTCCTTGGTGCCTGAATACACATTTGGTTATGATTATGTGCTTAGAGTTTATTTAACATTTCTCTCTTGGTAGTTTCCCCACAGTTTCGCTTTCGAAGGGATAAATAGTGTGTCATACTTTGCCTTTGGCCAAATTATGCTAACTTGCTGCCAAAACAACAACACACAACCCGCCTTCACAATCTTTGTTCCCGTAAGTTACCTGAGCAGCTTCTCCACTCAAGCACGTTTCCAGGGAGCTCGGCCCCAGTTTCCTTTTCCTGTCACAACCCGCATGTTGAAAAATGGGTGGCAAACTGACTCATGATTCTCTCATGAGTCCTTGACTTTTCCCTTTACTCAACCTGATGAGGAATTCAGGAATTTCCCAATTGGTCTTCCAAAGAAATTAGTGTGATGAAAAAACTAAGAAGAGAAGGAGAAAAACAAACAAAATACACTTAAGAAAGCTTGTTGAGAAAAGGCATTTAAGGAGTTAGTGTTAGTTAGTTGTTATAACCCCACTTAAACATTCCAGATTTAAGGGCCTTTCACACAGAGCACGACGATCACTGCCCAACGTCCAGCAACGTGTTTCTCATTAATGTCTCACTACATTCACGCCAATAGTGAGTATTCCATTGTATTTTATTGAAATTGTGTGTTAATGTCACAGCTCACACTATTTACCTGGTGTCTATTATGACTGAACAAATTGGCCGAAAACAAACAGTGGTGACCCTAATAAATGGGCTTGTTGAGGTAACAGAGATAATTGCTGTATGTGAGTGATAAGACTGTTAAGATGCTTCCCCAGACTCACAACAAAGTATAGTCCCAGTATAGCCATATAACCCAGTATAGTCTGGGTTTTTGTCTGCTACTGTCTGCTGCTGCCCGGTGCTTGTAATGAATAGTGATGTTTTACAAGTTTTACTCTTCCTACATCCCTCGGGTCCTCCTCCTCTCTTCTTTCTGGTCCTAGGTATCGGAGTCGGGCCAACAGGCTGCCCGTTATGTAACGATCGCCTGGCTGCGTTGGCACCACCTTTAGTGCCAGAGGTCAAAGCAGAGAAGTATTTTCTGCTGCCCTCATGGGTTTTTCAAATTGTGTTTGCTCCAATTGAATTTTGGTCCATCTGCGTGTCCGCCTTCAAAACCCCTTCTCTCCTCTTCTGTCCTGGGATCTTTCTCTCTCTCTGTCTCTCTCTCACGCACGCTGTGTCTTTTGCAGTTCTATTCTGCAACGCTCTTTATTTTGATATTTGGAGAAATGTCACACCCACATATTTGTACAAATATTTTTGTGTTGGATCATACGAGAGGAATATATTTATCAGTGATGTTGATTTTTTTCAGTTTTGAGATCGCCTGCATAGGATGCTGCATGATGATGTAACAGGTCTGCCGGTCAAATGTCTCTTTTTGGGAGAGTGCCTGAATTCCAATGTCTCTTTTAAAAATATATACACTATAAAACATGCAATAAATTGCTGTCTGATCTACTGACACTGGAAGGAGTCCGAGGCAGTCCTACACAATGTCACCGTGTTCCCTAAACAGAACAAATACTGGGCATTCAGTAATTGCAATGAAACAGTGTTGGCTCATTTACACACAATGGTAAGTGACTCTTGTGTCTGTCTTTTTTTTTCTCCTCAGATCTGTTTCCTGGTGTCGGCTTTCCGTGGCCGAATGTTTTCAGACGACAGCTGTGCTACTCTGGCGCTCTTTTCTCACTATTTCCACCTCAGTCAGTTCTTCTGGATGTTGATACAGGTAACAGCAGGTTAACAATCATATGTGCGCGTAAAGCTTATCACTTACACAACATTTCTATACAGGTATGGCCACCAAAAGTAGGATTCATAATTTTTGCTGTAATTGTTGCCATGCAGCTACATAATTGGCGATACATTCTTTTCCTAGTATGCTTCGATATATTTGCTCCCTCCCTGTTCTTTTACCTGGATAAAGGGCTGAGGTTTGGGGGCTATATTGCTATGCTTCAGTGCCGTGTAAAAATGTGTCTGTCTAGTCTAAGGCAAGCCTCAACAATGATATCTATTCACTAGGCCTTCAACCAGACAATGGGCTCAATGTGTTGAGCTGTAACTCAAGAAAGTAAATAAAGTTGGCCTATTTTTTCAAATGTGTTTCTTATTAAAAGGCACCTGTAAGTCAAATCGCATTTCATTCTCCTGCTTATTTTCCTCGTGACTTGGCATGAACAGAGATGCCAGTCTTTCCTGATGTGAAGCATGTGTTTTTTATGTAATAACGACTGTAACTCCGTTCCTCCACCATGTGGGCTTGATTAGGGGGTGAGATGGAGGCATCAGCGTGTTGCATGACAAGATCTTTGGCCCTTGACTGGTACCGCTTACTAACACCTCACCCAACCTCCCTACCCCCTTTTTGATTTGACTATATGCCCTCTAATTTTGGGCCTTTGTGGCAGGCAATTTGCAGCTTAGCATGCACACGTGAAGAAAATACTTAACCTTTCAGAAGCTAACAAAACATAATTTATTGATTAATTAGTATACAATTATGAAAAATAAAGTTTTAGCTATCAATATCAACCCTGCCAAAGACAATTTTAATCCTTCTTTGAGAAAATAGTTGTGATCTACTGATAAATCAGCACAGGAATGTGGTGAATATGTGTCGAAGTAATTCATAAACCATAAGGAATCATCCTCTTCTCTGCCTCCCTCCTCTTCGTTCCTCTTGCGTAATTAAGTTTGCTTTGTTTTCTTTGCTTCTCAATGTTTGACAATGTGCAACATTTGTGGGAACATAATCATTGTTTATGTAGTGGATCTAATCCCTGCTGGCGCATACGGTATATTTGGTGAAGTATTATAAGATTAGGCCTTATTCACATCAGAATGTTTACCAGATGACCGGTGAGATATCTTAAGGGATGAAGGCTCAGACCAAAGGCTTTCATGTGATTTAAGAAGTGTTACAATTTGTATGACAAGATTTGTCAGTGAGATGAAATGGGTTTAGACTTTTAGGCGGAGTTGATATAATCTATTCAAACGCTCTCTCTCTAATACTTTTTCATATGCTCTTGATCTTTGACCCCCCCTATAAAAATTCTGGCCATTTCTTCTCTGTCAACAACTATTGCAGTTGACAATGAAAATATTACTGTGATTGATGTGTTACTTTAAAAACCTTTGAACCTCACCAACATCTCTGTATCAACGCCTCTTATGTCTCACAGCTCATTTTTCCCTCCTATCAGGTAGATGCTTTCAGCTCAGTAGATGAAATGAGTGGGTATGTGTGTGCGTAAGGAGGCGCATGCACACTAGTTGATCGGAGGAACAGGCCATGGCATAGTGCCAAAAAACAGTCAGTAAATAAATCCCTATATACAGACCAGTTTTTTCATGCCTGCACAGGCAACCTTAGCTTTCTGAGAAACCGCATCATATTACATAACAAGACTTTACAGACTTTAAAGCCTTGAAATGCCTACAGGCCTACAGCGTATTTTTACCCTGATTTACTATACCAGTTAGTCAGACCGGGTGACACTTTCGCTGACCTGTAGTCATACGATGCCTGCCAGTGTTCTGCGAGAAGGAAAATGTATTTTACTGTGACAACGGTTGGATAAGTAGCCTGTAATAGTGATCAGGCCGGCCAGTCAGTCAAACAGCCATGCGGTCAGACATACAGATGATGAGTTTCCCAACAGCGGTACTGCTTCCTTCCTTCCCTCCTTCCCTGACGCCACAAACGGCCTCGGGGACTAAAAGCTTAACTGAGGCAGAGGTCCCTTAACCTCTTTTCATTAGTTACATCACAGAAATAGACCGATGGACACAAACGTCATCAACAATTATAGCTGTTGTATAAATATGGGAGAGAATTGCATTCTTATCAATGCTTTTATTTTATTTTATTATTTTAATAAAATTAAAATTCTTTTAAGCTGTCAAATGATGCTAAATGCAGTTAATGTAATTTATTTTTAACCCCAGCTCACAAGATACTAGATACAAGAGACTTGAAAATGGAGAGCTCCTTGGTTTTCCCCTTGAGCATCATGCTAAAATTCAAAAGTAACCTTTGCCCTTTGCTTACTAGTGCAGTAGTCTGTAATTGCATTTTGAAATGTTACTGTCTGCCGGGTCTTCACAAAGGGATAAGACATTGTGTTTCGACCAACAGGTGTTCAGAAAAGCTGCTTATGTAACTGCTAGGCTCAGTGTATCAGTTGGAGGAGAATATCAAAGCCTTCTAGATAACAAAGCATCAAAGCTATTGTGGGTGTGATAAAAGTCTGGTTGTATGTTGGTGTTTGACTCACTATGAAGATAAAAATGTTCTCAAAGAAAGATGAAATTGTCTTATTTCCTCCATTTTTGATGTTGGTATGTCTGTTTTTGTGTTTAAAATCCTGTAAACTAATGGCTTTCTCAAACTCTGCACCCAGGCGGTGAACTTCTGGCAAGTTCTGGTGATGAATGACGAGCACACAGAGCGTCGGTACCTGCTCTACTTCCTGTTGGCCTGGGGACTTCCTGCTCTGGTCATCATTGTCCTGGTCGTCGTCTTGCTTGGCGGCTTCGGATGGACCATACACACTGTATACGGGCTGGTTCAAGGAGACGTGTGAGTGGACATTGAAAAACACTTGCGTTCAACAAATATACCCACAAGTGGTCTTTAAACGGATGGAAGGGAAGTGGAAGTGAAACTACACTACGGTGATCTGTCGGGACTCGTCACGGTGTATTTTAATTTCGGTCTGAGTCAGCCACAGTGATTTCACTTTCTTTTTTCAGGCTTAGGTAAATTCCACTTTGGGCTAGTCTAGAACAAACAGAAAGGTGACATCATGCGAGAAGGTAGCTTCCCCAATCAAACGAACGAATGTGCCCACATAGAAACTTGAAAGGAGAAAGGGTGGCACCTTAAATATCCCACACACCGTTTGGCTTTGTGTGCTGTCTGTATATCTGTGTGCTTTACCTAAAAATAACATGTGACGTAAACCTGAATCCTAGACCACAACAGATGAGGTCACATTATTAAAATCAACAACGCAATTGTTCTTAATCAGCTGTGTGCCTTGCGTTCGTGCGGTATCTAAACCCAGTTAAATTGAGTTTGTTTGATCAAGCACACATGACAGGCAAAGTCTAATGCTGACAGAGATCAAACCCTTAAATCCCAGCTAAAGTTAGCCAGAGGTCTTAGGTGTGGCTGTTATTCTTGGGATAGAGTGTGTACTGTGTGCACGTTTCCTGCGAGTGGGTTTGTGCGAGACAGTGAGCGTACACATGAGAGATTCAAGGAAACAGAGGAGTATTCAGTTACCCTGGAAGAGCACCTTCCTCTTGCAGGGTTATGAGGCGTCCTTTGAATTCCTTCTCTCCGTTTTCCGTTTCTCAGTTTGGTTGAGAACGTGTTTAGTGCGTTGGACCTCATTTTATTTTTATTGCGGGACCTAAATTGTTCAGCTTTGAATTGACCTGTCTTCATACAAGAATGAATACAAGTAAATATACAAGTAAAGTAGAGCATAAAAGCCAGATTATTAAACTGTGAGATAAGAGTAAAATACTATGATAAAAGTAGCAAAAAATGAAATGATGATTATTGAATCATGGAACAGATGGTTATTTGTAAAATTTGTATTTGTATTTATTATTTTTACTTACATTTACACTTATTTTTATTTACCTACATTATTTTGGGATTTTATGATACAGACACAAAATGATTTTATTCTGATGACCTACATATACCAAAGTATACACTTATTATTATGCAACATCATAATTTTGAATTTATTGTTTTTCATACAGTATGTCGTCCTATCTCACTTAGGTCAAGCATTACACATACATTGGTTATAAGATGTCTTAATATAAATCAGTTGCAGTTGCATCACACTTCCCCAGTTGATCTCACTATAATTTGTAGTGGAAAAAATAATGTATACGTAGCTGAAACGTGGGATCAACTGTGTTGGCTGGACGGACTGATTCGTGGCATTCATTACCATGGCAACGTTCAAGTTCTAGAGTTAATATATACTTTACCTTTAGATCAGTTGTTCCTTAAACCAGGCCCTGTGCTTAAGTGACCCACTTATCCCACTGCGTTCATGTGCAGAAAAGATATAATCCCATCGGGATTTCAGTAAAACTGCCCATAAAATGACATGTCGCTTTATTCCTCTCCCAGACTATAAAGTAAATTAAATCAGCCTCTGCATAATGTGTTTGGATTTTTCTTTCCTGTGAAACTTTCCTTACAATAAGATCTCATCCTCTCACAAGGCCACAGCCGTACAAATATCCATATTCGAGTGTGTTTAAATTCTCATAGTCTCGCTGTCTTGCTGGTCAGTGGTGATGCAATGCTTTATTTGGCATACCTCATGTTATGTTGTGGCTAGCATGGCCCCAATTATTTCTCTGCAGTTACTCAGACATGCCGTGAGATCCCATCTGTGCTTCACACTCCCACCCAACCAGGGGCCCAACTTGTTTTGTGAAAAGACAAGAGTCACATGAGTGTTTTGATAGTTGTTTGGCAGTTAACAGTTCATATGAGGATGTTGATTTTCCCAGAGAAAGATCTTCGTTTAAGCTTCAAAACGCATCTGATTGGACAGAAGCAAGGAAAAGACTCCAGAGATTTCCCAGGAAAAATAATTAGGCTGGCTCACATCAAAGATAACTAGATTAGAAGCTTCCTCTTCACCTTTGTCGGCTATGCAGGATCATCATATGAACTGAAATAACTATTCTATATTTACCAGATAAAACGTATTTGTGAAAGTTGAAGAAATGCAGTCTTAACCCGTTTCCCATATTTTAGAGCTTTACCTTTTTATGGATGCAAACTTCCTCTCTTTTAATCCCCTCTTTTTTCCACATACATTCTGCATATTTCTATCTACATAAACTGAAGAAGAAAAACAGGGAATCACTTTCAATGTTGTTGGTTCTCCCTTTAGGTGCTTCATCCCAAACATCTATGCAGCTCTGTGCACAGCGGTGCTGGTGCCTCTCATCTGTCTGGTTGCGGTCATGGTGGTGTTCATCCACGCCTACCAGGTCACTCAGCAGTGGAAGGCCTACGACGACATTTACAGAGGACGAACCAACAGCACAGGTACCGATACGCCATGTGTGTTCTCAAACAATAAATGTACACAGTTGTCAATAGGCGTAGATGTGAGTTAAATAAATAAAATCTCTGTGCACATGCAAACATAAGAAAACAAGTTAGATCACACAGTCTCTCTCTATCTGCACCACAAAAACAAATAACGTTCTACCAGGACCTAGATTGCATCCACCCTTATTTTTGGCTAAAACTTTCAGCCCTTATTTTGCTCATCTTACAGGCTACACCCCTGTCTGCTGTGTGTGTAACTATGGGGTTAAGGATTCAAGAACAAAACAATAGCTGCCTCCCCTAATGAGAAAAAACTGACAGACATTTTGTTTTGCACTTAAATAGACAAAATAGACAAAGATTTGTGGATACAACGTCAAACCTTTACTTTGTGCATTATGCTTACTAGCAAATAAATACCCCACGCATGAAGACGTGAGCCAAAACGCTTTAGTGGCTCTGTCATGGCTTTACTCAGTGGCCATCGGGGAGAATCAGCTGGCTTTAGCTTGTGTTGCTCAGTCAAGGCCCTCCAATGACAAAGCAAAGCCTGAATTAGTGCCAGTCATTTGGCTGGTAAGCCGTTTGCCCCACACACTGTGTGTGGCCTCTGAAGTAGTGTGGGAAACCAAAACAGTGCTTTGCTGGGCTGCAGGTAGGTGTGCATTATTAATGAGAGCAACACTCTCATTTAAAAAAAACAGGCTCAGGCTCGAGATCAGATTGAAGGATTTCTGCCTGGCAGGAGCATTTTACTGTGACAGTGCTGACAACACAGATCAAAAGTAGACTGGATAGGTTTTTGGGGGAGTTGAGGGATAAGGAGACTTAGAATTTGGTACTGTACTGTGTTGAATCAGTAAAAAACAAGGAAGCAGTCGACTTAGCAAAGCAAACAAGGCAGCTTCAAAACTCCTTATTTACACTTAGAGAGAAAAAGAGAACGAGAGTAAATACTGAGAAAGGCAGGCACAGCCAATTCTATTCATAGCAGCCGTCTAAAGTCCGGAGCGAGTTTTTGGGTCACAAGGGCAGAGGACAGAACAACCCTCAAGGTGTGAAAATTATTATTATTAAAGTCCACGGTTCAGTGCTGGTTGCAGCTTTAGTTTTATTTGAACGCACAATGACAAAATACCATCACACAGAAACATGCAAATACTTATATAAGCATGCAACAAAATAAACAGGGTGCACTCTCAGCCCTGTCCAGCTCTTTGCGGTACACTTTATCAGTAAAGGCTTTATCTCAACGTGTCCAAAGTCCAAAGCAGAATAAAACAGAACTGTTCTCTACCGTTGAAGAGGTTTCGTGGTTTAAAAAGTACTGTTACAAGAGCCTTCATCAGTTTCAGCCAGACAATGTGTGGTAGTCAGACAACACACCAATCACAAAAGCTGTGATTTGCCTTGATTACTCTTCAGATGTTTTGCTTTACCTTGACGTTCCCATCCAGCAGAGATTTTTGCAGATCCTGAGGGATAGCCGATGCTATTGGAACAACGAACCTTCATGTCAACAATATTTTCAAATGCAGCAACAACTGACGAGTGAGAAAAAAAAAAGAACGTATGTTCTATTCACAACACATCAGTAAGCTTTAAGTTTACACACATATGACCTGTGAGGGGGGTGTTATTGCGTGCTCAGCGCACACTTCTTACAGCTTGTTGTTATTACAGCTGCTGAACTCTCGGTGACAGTGGTGTCATCGCTTATCGAGTTTCTACCCCGGCTGTTTTTGTTGAACCTGTGTTCTCCGCTCAGTTTGTCTTTTCCCACCAGGAACCGGCTCTGGTCAAACGTAAATCGAGGCCTGTGCTCCTGAGGAGAAAAGTAGCTTCTGCCTTTCCAGAGAAATTAAAAAATTAAAAAAGCAGAAATTGCATAATTGGAGGTCAAACTTCTTAGCTCTGACAGGGGAACACATTACCATGACATCCTTCAGCATCACCCCGCTAAGAGTTGAGACTTCACACAAATACTATAACTATATTGCCACTTATATTAGCAGAAAATGTGTGCCTGCTCTGCGTCTTTCTGTTCCTTCTTAGTGGTATCAGTCAGCATTTGGCTGTGGCTGTTCTTCTTGTGGGAGCTCTGGTCTGTCCACAGACTAAAACTTGCTTACATGGTTGGAAAACTTAAACCAAGCAGGGTGGAGATGTGCAAAATAGAAGCGAGCGATGTGAATAAAATGGTTTGATTTGGTGAAAGACTGGTGAAAGAGACTAAGAGAAAGCCTGAAAAGCAAGAGATGAACAAGTTTATGAAGCAGATTAATCATCTCTGAACAAACATACACCAAAATAACAAACAAAAAGAGACTAGGTGTTAAAAAAAATAATGCTGAAGCATCAGAAAACAAAGACCAGAGTATTGGCAGAATGAAAAAAGACTTACAGGAAATAAGTCTCAAAAGAAAAGGGACATAAAGGAAAAATATGAGTGGGAGGAAACACGGCCAAAAAAGGACAAGAAGGAAAGCTGCAGGAAAATAAGGAGCAGAGTGAAGCTGACCGAGTGGTGGAAGTGGCACCTCAGTGGGGGCATTTTGTGCAAACCTCCGGCCAGTGCTGTGTGTTTCCATCCTACTTGTGAAGTGAACTGCCCAGTCTGTCCTACATAACCCCAACCAGAAAACCACGGAGTGACTCAGCACTTTAGTTTGAAAGTGGGACTTTTTCCCTTCGGAACCAAAGCATTTATGTGTGCCGACGGTACAGATTATTTGGAACACAATGCCTTTACCCTTTTTCCAATACCCTCCAATATAGATAGATCACACCCAAGTGCTAAGAACCCTTTTTCTCATTTGATTGATTAACCCAGTAAACATTGTTAACTTGAGTTTCTTGTCTCAATCAGTAGTTCCAAGTATATTCATTAGTCATTACAGCATGATGGCCACATAGTAAACTAGTGTCTCATCTAAGTAAGTAAAATAGACATTGAGGCAGTAGTCTTTATAGTTCACTGGCTACCTTCTTTCTGAAAGGTTCCATGGCATTGTCAGGTCTGTTGTCCCTGTTTTTGTCTTCAGAATTTAACCATTTCATTAAAGGTCCAAACTTTAGAACATAGATTTTTAAACAATACTCCACTGACCAATTGGAGAGGCTGATAGATTATGTCCTCATCTTTTACAATCCTTTATTATTTTCACCTGAATGAAACAAGTAATGAGTAATATTTACCAAACCTCTTTCTCTGTCGGGATGACTCAGTCTTGACAGTTGACAGTCTGCTCCCAAATGGCATTTTGTTTGTCATCTAATTAGCCATTCAAATAATAGCCAACATTTTGCAATGAGGGTTAGACCAAGATCTGAAATAAAGATTGTAAGATGATTGTATAACACTCTCGCGCCATCAATCATGACTAGTACAATGGGTATGTACATGTCTGTCCTTACCTTTTAGATCAAGTCTGAGGTTGTAGGTAGTCACCTCTGCTTGTGTAACGTGACCTAATGTACTGTATGAACTCTGACAGCTAGTGGGTTAGTTGCAACAGAAGGGCTCAGTTTAGAGCCACGTGCAGAAAGACCTCTCGCTGGTCTCGTCTTATCTAAGAAACACTTAACGCAGTCCAAATTTAGCAAATGTGATTCAGCGTTTTTCTGCTTGCTGTGAGTGTTCATTGGAAACAACATGCATGAGAAAGAGGAAGCATTTCAGCATACGGTCAACTGTCCAGTGTTGGAGTGTGTATTACAGAGGTATGAAGGGAGTCCCACCTATCTCCGTAATGGTGGTTAATTTAAATTAAGTTATGTCACTTTTTCAGTGGTACTACAGGTAGATTCAGTCTCCAGACTACTGGCCACAAGGTTCGGCCCTCAATATTAGTTTTATTCCTGTGAATTCTTAACATTATTACTAGGCTGTTAGTAGTCATATGAATATTTTCACAAGTAAAATTATTGTGCTCACTAGCATTTAGATCATTAACAGCAATATTGGAAAATGCTCAGAAGATTAAGCACTGAGTGCGTCAAATTGGCTCCTGGCTGCTTGCGTGTGTGCACGCATCAAACTTGTGTTGTTGCTCTACAACTATCTACAGCAAGCACTAGTTTGGGCTTTAAACAGGGTGCACATGACTACATACATGTGGAGCACATGTGCTCATTTAGACTTTTGGACCAGAAACACTTCATCACTTGCTGAGGGCGGTTAGATAGCAGGACACGAGGTTGAACATCTGGCCCTCGAGTGTGTTCAGAACAACATGGAGGTGAACAAGCTCAAAACTGAGGCGACGACAGTGGATCTCAGGTGGAGCGCCTGAGATTAAATGATTGATTTAATCTCAGGTGCTCCACCTGAGATCTGGTTGATTAAATGAAATCAACCATATTTTACGGTAGTCATAAAATGGATAATAAAATTAATTAATTTATGGGATTTAACCTTCACTGTTATCTTTTGCTCCAGAGGTGCCGCTGGTTCTCTACCTGTTCCTGCTCATCTCCCTGGTCTGGTTGTGGGCCGGCCTCCACATGGCCTACAGGGACCTGTGGATGCTCATCCTTTACGTCATCTTTAACTGCTTGCTGGTGAGCTCATTCAATTCTTTATCTTTTTGTTTGTCGACGTGCCTGCAAAGCTGTCTATGCTGGACTTGTTTATATGTTCTTTTTTATGCAGTTGTTTTACTCATTCACTCAAACTACAGCAGCATCCCCCCCACTTACTTTGCTTTCCACTCGGCCAAAAAGATTGTACTGAATTCTTAATCTAATCCAATTAGTGTCCTTAATTTTTACTGGTGCCATCCACATGAATCTCAGTTGTCATCTCATGTTAATATACTAAGTGCTGAGTTATGATATGAAACCAATATAATGAAATGTTTTGATTCTCAAGTAGAGTTTAAAAAAAATGATTGATAGCCCTGATTACTTATTACCCCAAAGAATTTGGGTTTTGATTAACAGATTTCTTTCTTCTGTGTGTTCAGTAGTTTGTCAATATTGTTTGTGTTTCATTGATTGTAATGTCAGAGAGCTTCCTGGAAGTTACCACAAATAAAATAATGATGATGTAGGCTAGTAGGCAGGTGCTCGACCCGTGAGTGTGTGTGTGTGTTTGTGTGCGCGCGCTTGCTTGCGGTTGTGTATGTGTGTGTGTGCGTCTGCGTTGTTGATTTAGAGAGCCAGAGAGTGATGAAGGCTACTTCATCTCACTTTGAAGCCCCGCTTTGATGTGTTGGCCGAGCAAGAAGAGCCTCAGGAGGGGAGAGAGAGAGAGTCGGGGTTATCACCGTGTCACATCTCTCCGGAGCCTCCCATCGCCGTCTCTCTGTCTCCACTCCCCATCTGTGCTTTGGTCTCTCCGTTCGCCTCTCCCCTAATATGCTGCGCCCTGTCTTCATCCCGCCTCTTTGCTCCATGTGTCAGAGATACGTAAAGAAAGCACAATATAACTCACTCACTAAATATCTCTTCACGGATACAAACTCATTTGTACTTCAATCTAGTATAGCTTCAAACAGTTATATAACATTGTTTGGAGTCAAATAATACCTCTAGTTTCAGTATTTGATTGCAATTAGACAATATACGTATCCATGGCCACATCTGTTATAGAAGACTCACTTTTTTGATCACACTGTGCATAAAATGATCAGTACTATTTTTATCTTTTTTCATGTCCGTAGTCTGAAAATATTGTGGTCTCTGTGGTCATCTTCTTAGAGACACCATCCGCTTGTAAAGTGTGCCATAACAGGTCTGTGGTAACTGGTGGTGAAATGTGGCATCAACATGCTAAAGACAACAGTGTTGCACTAAAGTAAACTTTTCCTGTTGGTAAACTGGCTAATGAAGAGAAGTGATGTCACTGCGAATGGCCGATGTCGCACTTAGCACTTGTTTAGGAGCTCCAATAGTTTGCCTCACTCTGTGACCTCATGTGGTCAGTTTATTCCACTGACCAATAGTTTGATGGTGCTTTTTAAAGTCAGTTGTCATCTGTTATTTATGCAAGTTTGTGAGTTCTGTAACGCGCACACACTTTTTTTTTCCTGAGGGATTAAGCGACCATTTATGTCTGACATTCCAAATTTTTTGACAAGACATGCTTCATTTATCTTTTGACGGGGTTCAAAATCTTGCTTTAATCCTGTGGGAACTTTTCAGATGAAAGTCATTTGTTCCCCCGTAGTGACCTTGTGCTTTAGTCCCTCGAGGCTTCCATGTTTCCTGCCTCCATTCCTTTGAAGTCTGCCTTCACACAAATAACATACGGGCATGTGCATAAAACCCCCGTCGCTAAACGGTTATCAGCTATGGGAAGACAAGTTGAGCGTCGCAGACAACTTTTCAAACTCGCTAAAACAACAAAAGGCCCTTTTTAAAAAGAACTATGGCGATTGATTTTCAATCCCATCTCCTACATCGCCTCGTCTCAGCGCAGACTACAACTGGAGCCTCTGGGATTTAGTCTGGAACGAGGAAGAATTCATCAGAGTGGAACAGACAGGTAAAGAGCGCCATGGCGCTTCAAGGACATTGATTAGCAGTAGACAAACCCGTCCGACCCGGTTTATACAAAACACCGATTTGCTCAAATACTCAACATTTTATTGAGCGGGGAGGAAAAACAGTTGCAGTTGTGTTAGAGTGAGACTTTTAAGAATGAATGAACGTGTGATGAAAGCTGATCCTGATAATGAGACAGAAAGTACACTTCTACTCATCAAGCACTCTCTTCATCTTGAACAGGAATTAGATTTTGAGGCTGATAACAGATCAAAGATATGAAAGAAGTTTTTCTGTTGCAATAATGTTCTGGTGCCGTTGTATGAAGTTCTGATTAAAGGAGTATTTACACAATGCTTTCAAAAGATTAGGTGCACAAGAAACCTCAGTACAAATAAACTATCTCACCCGTACTCAAACTCTTCAAATTATTCTTTGTGTTAAAAATTATACTTGCCTGTTGTACAAGCAGGTGCTACATAACTATTTATTAAGTTATTATTCCACTGGCTGCTTGTTTTTAACTATGTTAACTGTTCTAATCAGATCTGAAATGCTTTTATTTTCCATTTTGTTCATTGCCTCGAGTCTGTGATTCTGTTGCAAAGTACAGTGGAGCCTTTTCGTGCCTTGAAATAGTTGATTACTGAATACGTTCAACTCCTGCAAATGCAACAGTTGTGTTTGCGATGGAGAGCAGATTCGGCTTTGCTTGTTGAGCACTGGGGTCGTAGGCGGCCTTTAGTCTGTGGCGGGGAATTCGTTTCAACCGACTGCATGTTGTTTTCTTTGTCTCATTTGTCCCATTTCCAATTTAGGACCACATCTGTGCCACATCCGGGTAAATTAGATTATATTAATGATCTAACCCCAGCAGCACCACTCCTCATTATCTCCTCCTGTGACAGCCCCTGTGCTGGTAAACCTACCTTGTTTATCTTACCTTGCCAGTCACAGAGACATCCATAACAGTGAAACAGCACCATGCACCACTAAGATTCAATTCCACCCACGCTTACTCAAGCAGCCTTTGTACTGTGCTATAAATAGACACAGGGCATGGGTGTAATAACAAGACACACACCCATTCTTGTCCACACCCATGAAACCTGCAGAGGATTAGGATGTACAGGAAATAGATCTGTTGCTTCTGTGAGGACGTTATTTCCTCAAAAGGTTGAAAGGGAATATTGTATAAATTCTGCCGTTTTTAAATGAAAGGGACACTGTTTCACTCCTGTAAGTCAGATCAGAGGATTTTGTTGGCTTTTAATTTTCGCTTTGATTACCTTTACTTCCGCTTTGTGTCCTTGTCCCTTTCACCTGTCACAGACAACACACTTCTCTGGCTATTCTACACACTACATTTCAACATTCTCACCCATACTCCCTGTGTCTCTGCTCATGGTCCCTCTTCATATATCACCCTTTACCAACCACCTTTCCTGTCCTTCCTGTTCTCCTCGTGTTCTGTGCGTTCCATCTCTAAAGAAGAGGCCCCTCTAGTGCTCAGAGTTACATAACAAGCCTGTGGCAGTAAAGCCTGTTCCTCAGGCTGCACCCGACAAAGTCAGCTGCAACATACACAACCGTGCATTAAAACACACCTGGTTGCTTTTTTCACCGTTTTACACACATTTATACATTTGTGCACTCTTGTGCGTTCCGTTTCTGTCTGCAGTCATCGGCCAGTGATGGGTGTTGTGAAATACAGGAGGGCTCTGTGGCATTTGACACTCTGGTGAATAAGGGTAATTCACAGCCCGGCGCTGTTGACCAAGACGATTCGGTAATGACGAGGAAGTGGAGGAAGTAGACATACCACAGTGCCAATGATGTCATGGTTCATGGTGGATAATTCTCCATTAACCGTCCTGGAGGAGACGCTGCTGCTAATGATTTCTTCATAACAACGGATCCTGCCGTTTATAGAAATTTTTGTTTATTTTGTTTTACAATTTTTACATATGGTCATTCCCATTTTAAGCATCCTGTCTTTGATCCCCGACATTACAAATAACTATATATATATATATATATATATATATATATATATAGAGGAGTAGAGCCGGGGAAAATGTTCCTGATGCTGATTCTGTTCCTCTTTCTTTACAGGGCTTGTATGTGTTTGCTGTGTACTTCGTCATGCACAACCAGCTGTGTTGGCCGACTAAAGCCAGTTACACAGTGGAGATGAGCGGCCACGACAGTCCTGACTCTACCTACCAGGGTGGGGGACCCACCACTGTGGGGGGCGACATCAGCAAATCTACTCAGAACCTCATCAGTGCCATGGAGGAGGTACACACACACACACACACACACACACACACACACACACACACACACACAGATCTGAACATGCGTAGCTGTTTAGGCTTCTGCTACTACTTAAACCACCATATTAAAATAAAAAAAACAATAAATCTTCACCTTCCCTCACGGTTTTCCACCTGTAAATGTTCCTCTCCCCGTCTTTTTCCCATGGCTCTGTGTACCCATTACTGGTCCTCCTTCACACATTTCTCCCATCAGCTGAGCGTGAGCCCACGGAGAACATTCATGTTCACTGTCTGCTTGACTCACTCGCCTTTATAATGTCCTCTCAACTCATCTTACGATCTTCATTTCAGATCTGCACATCCCATGCAAGCAAAAAACAAAATGAAGTACACACATGCGGTGTTCCGTAGAGCGTCTGTGTTCTAAGCAACTTTGTCCCTGGAGAACACCCTATAAGGACTGTGCTGGTATGAGGGAGAAGAAAGGGGCGGTGTAACTTCATTACTCCCCCTTGGCTCCCTCTGTCTCGTTCCCTCTCCACTCATAGTAATCCAGTGATCTTGTTTTATTCATGAGAGCACACTCCTCCTTCTCTGCCATTTGGCTACAGGCCAGTGAGTAAAATAAGGCCGCGGATAGAGACCGCGACGTGAGTGTTGGATGAGTGACGATTTGCGGAGTGAATTGGTGGAAAGGAAATTGAAAACGAGATAAAAACAGGGAGACGAGCAGACAATTCAAGATCTGAATAGCTTATTAAATGGTTTGAGTCATCCACTCTCTGCCTGCATTTAAAGTGGATATGACAGAGTTGAGGTGACTGGTGGCGCCTAATTCACCTCTCTCGGACGTTGTGTACCGGTTACAGCCTAGCAAGCTTCAGAAGCTCGTGCAACACGTCCATTAATCCATGAACACGGAGAGATGAGGCGTTCATAATAAATGAACAATGGTGGAAAAACAAAAAGCTTTGTCTGGTTGTTAAAAAGATGGAAATTCAAACATGTTATTTGAGACTCTGCTACTTTCTTTTTTCTTTTGCATGAATATGTTTTTATCCCCCATAAGAAATATTACTAAATGAAATGCTTTCACCTGTCTAAATGTGATAGCAGCCAAATGTTCTGGGTGTTAAGCTGATTCAGAATGAAACCCTAAACCCAACGGCCGTGCTCTCACCCCACGAACCAGCCGTGACCCTGTCTGTTGGCCTTAACACTTCGGGGTACCGGGGCAACGTGCACTCTGCCTGACCCTGACTCATCACAGGCATGATTACACGGCTGACAGACACAGCCATCCTCTCGATTAAGTGTGTGTGCGTCTGTGTCTGTGTGTGTTGCGTGTGCATTGATATTGAGAATGGTTGACCTTATTTTCCCTTGTGTTCATGTGGAGTCCATGTTTTGAAGCCAGCATTGTGTGCATTGTGACACATAAATGTACAACACACACAATGTTTAATCAATTGGTTGCAAGTCTTTTATTATATATCGTATCTCTTATAGCTCTTATCTCAGAGAGTGAATGAATATAAAAAGACGCACCTGTGTATCTGTGAGTTCCAGGTGTCAGCAGACTGGGAGCGAGCATCGCTGCAGCCCGGCAGTCATCCCAGCAGTGTGTTTAAACCCAGTCCTGTGATGGGGACGTACTCCACCGAGGGAGGCTTCATCAACAGCAATCTAGTCACCGCAGACGAGGAGTCGCAGGAGTTTGACGACCTTATATTTGCCTTAAAAACTGGTGAGTACCCAACCAATAAATGGGCTTCCAAAAGTATTGTTATTCCTCCTCAGGCTCAAAACTCAACTTTCTTGTCAAATATTTGTTCATCATCACACTTATATTTCTTACTTATTTCTACAAAAAAAAATGTAAGAGATGCATAAAACTCAGATTTTATATCTCATATTGCATAATGGTTTCAGTTTATTCATGAGGACTTTTATTGAGGCATAAGATGAGCAACATCTCCAACACTGATCTTTCCAGCAGAATGCACAACAGTAAAAATAAATGGCAGCAACCTAATCGTTTATTGAACTTTCTTTTGGGTATCAATAGTGCTATCACAAACCTGTCTAAATGTTTACAGGTTCAAAGTCTAGTCAAGCCAATATGACTTGTTGGCCACAATACTATTTCAACCATTAAAGGAACATAACATAAACTTCAAAAAAAAAAAAGAAAGAAACTTTTTAATTAGGCATGTGACTTATATAAAATATATAAAGTATGTTGCTATTTTTGTGTCTGGGTATTTGATTATTTCATAATATGCATACTTACACTTCGATATTTACTGTATTAAGGTCAGCCCTACTTAGTCATTCCTCTGTTTACCCTAAATCTCTCTGCTGCCATGGAAACCATTCTTCCTCTTTTGTCATCCATATTTAATGAGCCCAAACTGGCCCAAACTGCTCATTGATACATTACCAACAGACACACAGGCCGTCCTCTCCTCAGTCTTTGAAATCAAGTAATTACTTCACAGTGTCTGAATAAGAATCAGGTGCAGTTGAACAACAACCAGCACCAGCCTCAGTTCACCGGGACGCTCTTCTGCTGTTTAATACGACTCCACACCGGAGAGAAAAGCACTAGAGAGATGCGATGCAGTGATGCTTTCCCGAATCTCAATCAAGAATCTGCTCCAGCCTCAAATTGTCAAAGCTAACACTTGCAGTATAGTTAAATTACGGCATACTGAAAAAAAACAATGCTAGCGTCCTGAGGTTTGATTTGTCTTTTCAGAGACGTTTGACCTGTTTGGCCATAGCAGGCTTTGACTCTTGAGATCTGTTCAAGTACCTCTGTGGATCACAAGCCAATATGCAGCAGCACTTGATACCTGCTAGCATGCATCCCAGGAAAACAAAACTTGTTGCCATGGAAATATCCAAATTGAAAGTCTGTCCTGGCAGGTGTGAGTTCAAGGGACTTGCGGGTGTTAATGAATGTGGATTAGCCTAAGAGGATAGTGTTACACTCAGTAAAAAACAAACCCCTCTTATTTTAATGTGGTTTATGTGTTGCACCATGTCGAACAGTTGTTGCAGAAAGACGCGAGGCGACGGCCTCGGGGCTGCAGCATCCAGGCCAGGGGATTTATTGGTGCCCTCATCCGCAAACTCAGCAGTATTAAGTTGTCTATTTTATTCAATATCGTCAAGAGCCGTAAATAAAAAAATAAAAAAAATAAAAAAGAGAAGTAAATATTATATAAATATAAATATAATATGATTTTTTCTCAGTGAATATACGTGTCACACTGACACTCGTCGTGTTCAAACAATCTCACTTAGTCAGCAGTAACAACAGCTGATCAGAATTATGAAATAGGGCATCAGCTAACGGAGGTCAGTAAGTAGCGGAGTAATGAGGATCTTTATACTTAATTTGGTTAGTGAAACAATAACATATACACACACACACAGAAACACACTCGTACTTTCAGCATATGTAGAACGACTGAGAGCTGATCATTAACACGTTGGGTTTACTGTGAAAGGTCAGCTTTTTCGTATGAATGTCAGAGAGTGACTGATTATGTCACAGGAGTCACACGTTACCTTATTCTGTACGTTCACCAGAAGGAAAACAAGCTGAAAATACCTGTTTTCTTTGCTTTATTGACAACGCTCAAATATATCTGTGCAATTCAACTTGTAACTTACTAGAACAATTACCGTGAGTAAATATATTGAGATCCAAAATATCTGATACCATTTTGTATGCTATTGGATATGACGGACTATGACATTTAGCACATGACACAAACAACGACTAATCAGCACAGCAAACGATTTGTTGCACTGAGTTGATGAAACAGTGTTGGTTGGTCCACTACTGTTGATTATTAAGGTATATAAGTAATGTAATATAAGAAGAAAAAAGAAAAGAAAAGAAAAATCACATCTTTGGATGAAATTGAAATCTGACTTTTTCCATCTATTTTAGGGACCGGCCTTAATTTGAGTGACAACGAGTCATTACCTGGAAGCCACGACGGAGGGAGCATAAACAACTCCCAAATAGTTGAACTGAGACGAATCCCCATCGCCGACACACACCTCTAACCTGTCCCCCTCACACACTCCCAAGACCTCTACTCTTCACAAAAATTACAACACAGTATTTTTATATTATGAAATGGTTTTGCACTAAAACACTGTTTTTTTCAACTTTTCATATCGTTGTTTGAATCTGTATGAATCTGTATTTTTATTTTATTGTTTATGTATATATATGAACCTATACATACATGTTTTACTAAATACTAAGTCCTCAATGAAGTTGTTTTCCTGTATGTATATTTGGATTTTTTTTTTCCTAGAAGTAAATGAGATGTAGCCGATCACTTGGCAGAACCACTGCGGGTGAGAATGGACATTGTGTAACATTGTTAATAAACGATTTACCATATGTTTTACATTAGCCTGGGATGACTTAATCTTTACTACTCATATGCTGTCAATAAAGTCAGTCTATCACCGGAGGGTGCCTCTCGCAGTTATGTAAAGGAGTCACTGCGGGGTCAAGGGTCACGCCCTCATGCAGCATGCATGGTTTGTGTTGATGATCAATGACTCTACAGTGACGAGGTCTGGCAGCTCTGCAACAAATCTCAAAATAACAAAAATGTAAGCAATGCCGACCACAATGTGCGGAATATTCAAGATACCGCAAAAGTGTAGTAACCTGAGCTCTTCAGGGAATCCATTTTACTTAACAACATACATTTGTATGTTGTTAAGTAAAATGGAAGGCTCACTTTTGATCTGCTCTGCACAATCGGTCAGTGTGAATGTACAAGCAAAACTTACTCTAAATAGACTCTCATGGAGCTTCGAATTCACGGAATCCAAAGTCTATTGACCCTTGGACTGACCTGAAACCACTATTTGCACATGAGCCTGTCACTATTAATGGGAAAGTAAGACCAAGACTTTGAAAAAACAAAGAGCTACATTAATTTGTTGCCACTCGAGCCGTTGCTTGCTCGTCACAGCTACCCACCCATGTTCGCTGTGGACGGTTGAGGTTGAGATGCTAACAGACGATGAGAAAGCTGCACATCAGGAGACACATGTGCTGCACTTGAGATAAAATAAAGAAATTGTTACATGAGGGAACCACCTGTATGTTGTGTCTTGAAATATCTCCCTTCCAATGGATAATTGTCAAATTCTCCCTCCTGCATTCAAATGAGGGCAAGACCGGAGAATGAAATAAAAAGTAAATGATACATTTAAAAACTGACTAAGTGGGAGAGATGACATGGCTCGGAGTACAGAAATATTTCTTCCCGTTTCGGTTGACATCTTTGCCAATTTTTCATCCCTAAGGGAATAGCAGCCCGCCACCTACTGTGCGTCCACAAAGGATAATGGTGTTTCAGACATATAACATCACTATTCTTAAACAAATCATTTCACTTGCCCAAACACAACATGTGTGCATGTCACCTCGGTTTCCTGCATGGTTACATCACTTTTGAGGCCCATGTGAGTTTCTCCTCAGGGACTTAACGTAAAAACAAAGCTGTAATGAGCAAAGAAGCGCACGGTATTATTCACCAAGATAGCACTCATGGGTGTGTTTTCTCCGACAGCAAATGAGCCTTCAGTGGTGCAGCAAGAACGTCTTATAGGGATCCAGCATTATCAAGGGACCGGTTTTGATTTCAATCCTCCTCCCAAGAAAAGCTTTCAGACACAATAAGTAGTTTCCATGCATTACTGCAGCATGACATCATGGCACCAACAGCACCAACATATTACCATTACGTATCCTTGGGGGGGGACACTGCATTTACTGTAGTCTGTATACGTGTGAACCAACGTGGGACAACAATAGTACAAGGAACAATCTGCTAAAAGTATCACCTTATGCTGGGGGTCAAATGGACGACGTGGTACCAGAATTGACAAAGTGATCTGTCAAATCTTCAGAAAAGAAAAGACGATGTAATGTTTCACAGGTTAACAAAGAGTTGTGAATGGGAGAAGATGTAACCATCTACCAGCACCTCTGAAGCTCACCAATGAACACTTTACACATGTTTAATTTCATCCTTACAAAAACATCAGTGTAAGAAAACAATATCTTGCTTTTTATCATATGAATCGCTTGTCAACTTTGATTTCATGACACCGAAGGACTGAGAGGAATTGGTTCTTGAGTGCAGTACGTCTCGTAGACACATTTTCATGTGGTGGCGGATGGGAAAGGATTGAAAGTTCGGCTGTTGAAATTTCCGTTCTTAGCAAAAAGAGGGAAATGCAATCAAACAGCCTCAGCATACAGCTTAATGTCCCAACCCACCAGCCCCGGGTCCCAGAGACAGCAGACGGCAGGCGGACATGTTTACGTTGAAGTCCTTGGTCTCTTCTGGCTTCCGTCTATCAGTCTGCGTCTTGGAGGAACAACAGAGATAACACAGCAAACAACTAGGCAACAGCTGTTTCTCACACAGAGTGTGTGGATGCTCAGATGCTGACTCGGCACTTCTAGCTCTCAGTGAATGAGGCTGTCTGACAAAATAAGGAACCAGCAAACACCGGTTGAAGGAAAGAGCAGAGATTAAGAATCACGCTTTTCCCACTTCAGCCGGGACAGTGAAATCTCTCTCTCTTGAGAATGTTTTCGGGGGGGGAGCCTGTGTTTGGAACACACCCCGAAGAGGATGTTAGACCATCAAACACTTTTTTTTTAAATTTGACAAATCTACATTATATTGACTTATCACAATTTAGGATATCTATCTAAAAAAATCAAAATCTAAATATTGTGTATTGTTTTTTAACTGGAATTATAACAAGTGATACTTTAAGCCTGAATCGAATTTTCAGAAACGGGAATTACAATTAATTACAATTCAGCAACTGAATTTAAAGCTAGTTTATTAGTAGTAGTAGAAAGTAGTTTGAATCTCATGTATCAAAATATAATACAACAAATCCTAATTTAACTTACACTGGGAAAAATGATGTTGCAGATATTAGTCATGACCACTTACAACCCGATGAACACCCTTTCATTCTTAAATACATAATTATACGTATGCAAACAGAACACCTCAGACCACTCAGAGTGACTCAGATGCACAAACAAAGCCTGGAGGGAACAGCCTTAAATCAATACAGACAGACAGTGAGTCAGCAGCATTGTCTGTGCTGTCGAGAGGCGGCTAAAAGAAGAAGGCAAAGAAGTAACAAACAACCAAAAGGCTTCATGTTGGCTTTAACGTTCTTTTATTTCTGTTTTAACATTCTTTAAATACTCTACCACATAGAATTCTGTTGTTGCATACAGTTCATACTCTTAAAGTGTTACTGATTGTTTTTAATCCTTTAATACAATAGAAGTATATTTTCACAGCCGGCTCAATTTGATCAACCAATAACCGTACGTCTGTTGGATAATCTTTTACTTGTTTACAGGTCATTTGAAGGGTATTGAGGCGGATTTTGAGGTTTTGCTCACTATAGAAATTCAAGAAAGATCTAATTACATTACATGTCATTTAGCGGACGCTTTTATCCAAAGCGACGTACAATAAGTGCATTCAACCATAGGGTACAAACTCAGGAGAACAAGAAACAAGAAAGTGCAATTTCCTCAAATAAGCCAATTTACAATTTGCTATAGATGAGTGACGTTACAAGTACAATTTAAGTGCTACAATTTGTTAGTCTTTTAGTCGATGTAGAGTCTGAAGAGGTGTGTCTTTAGTTTGCGGCGGAAGATGTGAAGGCTCTCTGCGGTCCTGATGTCTTCAGAGAGCTCGTTCCACCATTTCGGAGCAAGGACAGCAAAGAGTCGTGATCTGGTCGAGTGTTTTGCTCTCAGTGAGGGAGAGACGAGTAGTTTTGCAGATGCAGAGCGGAGAGTGCGGGTTGGGATGTAGGGTTTGACCATGTCCTGGATGTAAGCTGGACCCGATCCATTCACAGCATGGTACGTGAGCACCAATGTTTTGAACTAAATGCGGGCGGCCACCGGTAGCCAGTGAAGAGAGCTGAGGAGTGGAGTAGTGTGGGAGAATTTCGGAAGGTTGAAGACCAGTCGAGCTGCTGCATTCTGGATGAGCTGCAGAGGTCGAATGGCGGTGGCGGGGAGACCTGCCAGGAGGGAGTTGCAGTAGTCCAGGCGGGAGATGACAAGAGCCTGAATCAGTACCTGCGTTGTCGCAGTGATGTTGGGAGTCAGGGAGAGTTGGCTGTCGAGTGTGACGCCGAGGTTCCTAGCGGTCAAAGTGGGCGTTAGCACGGAGTTTCCAAAGTTGACTGTCAGGTCCTGGGTAATTGAGAGGTAGCACTGCTTTAGATGGAGGCAGATGTATGGTACATAACACACTTTACTGAATGCCTAACTAAAGTGAGGTATGCATGCATAACAGGCCTGACTGGACCTTGTGTAACAGTACATACTATGAGAGGATGCTGTAACTGCAAACCATCATGCGATGGATCAAGTACCAATAATTTACATTGATCCTAAGCATATGGGATCTATCTCAGACATGTACTCCCGTTATATTGCCCATGTTTTCGGGGAGTCTTCTCCGTTTCTTATTTGAAACTGATGACATGCAGGCCAGATAGCGTGACCTTTGGACTCTTTCCGTCCACTCACTCTAAAGGTCAGGCACGTTATAAGAGAGCTGGAGGAGGCCCAGCCAGGAGGACCAGCTCTAACAGAGCAGCGAAGCATATTCACGCAAAATGTGCAGGTGTTTTGATTCAAGTTGACAGCAGGGTGAAGCGCCGCAGTCTTGGATGGCAAATTCAATTGGAATGGATAAAAGGGAAAGGAAAACCCACTAAGACAGACTCCTAGCCTGAAGCCTTTTCATCGTTTTTCTGCCACATTACAGAAGACACTTTGTTGTGACTGCAAACTGTAGCCACCCTGCGAAATGTGATTCTGCAGAGTGAAAGGCAACGCCGTCCGCTGCGGCCTTGCCAGCATGGCTGGCCGAGGGTCACGAATGCCGGGCTGAGTGTACCCAAGGCGAGTGGAGATATATCATGTCTGCAAATGACGCGCTGTCTTGTTCTCACTATGTTGTTTGGTTGGCAGTAAAACTCGGCCGCCCCCTCTGTGGTACGGGCTTGCTTGTGCTTATCTGATCTGCTTTGGTGTCTGTCTATTTGTGTTTTTTTTTATGCGTGTGTGAGAACCAATAATTGTCTGAGCGCAGGGACGCATTAATGCACGTCAATATGTAAGTAACAACTTGTGACGCTCTGTCCCTTTCAGTGGATGCCTGTGCGTGAGTGTTGGTACGCCACAAATGCTTTTGTGTGCCTGAATGTTGACACTGGAGCTGAAGCCTGCCGGCTGCCACATGTATTATAACCCGGCAGCTTGAAATAGCCTTCACATTTCGACAGATAAGTTATTTTGCTGGAAGCACAGACCTCAGTTAAAACCACTAACCATCGGAGTCAGATTTGAAACCTATCGATAGCAACCTTTTCGTCCT